AACTATCAGCCGATAGTTCCTCGACAGAAACACTCTATTGTTTATCTGTGATAGACAGGGAGTATATTGTAGCAGTGAGCTCTTGGTAACAAATTAAAATGACGGCCGCTTCTTGGCGTTTTCGAAGTGTTTTCAAAGAAGATTTAGATATAGTTTTGAACGACTAGTAGACTTAGTTGCGCCCTCATCAATTATCCGCGATAGAAATCTCGAGCTCATAATCTAATTGTTTAATAGTAACACGATTTTAAACCAATCAGCACGCGTATTCGCATAGGGCTATTTTCTAAATAGCGTATGTAACATGGACTAATACAAAGTAATTTTGTTAAGATGTCAGCGAACACTTACCTTTCCTCAACCATGCTTAGCCTGCGCAGCAAGCGTTTCCAAAAAAGCACTCGAAGGGAACGAAACTGCGAGCGAATGTGAAAAATAAGGTCCCCACTCCTTCCCCTTCTCGCGCATTCCCTTCCAATTTCTCCCCTTTCTTTGCTTACCTTAGACACGCCCCTTCGTTCGCCCGCTTGCTCGCTCGCTTGTTCGATCTTTCTACCTGGAAAAGGAAAAGAAACGGCTGCTACGCAAGCTAAACCATGCTTAGAAAAAAGGTAAAAACGAACGAAAGAAGGGATTTATTTTATTAACTAATTTTTGCAGCCTTTGCAGTTCCATCTTCAGCTGGACATAAGTATTACTGTCTATCGGTGCTATAATAATTTAATTCGCGTCAGCTTCTACAAAGATTAAATTTCCCTATGCTTAGTATTGGTACACAAGACGGACTGAATTAAAGCAGCACCTTCAATCTTCTTTCTGGCAATTTGTGTGTTTTGTAATTTTTCAAAGTACATTGTATCTCGTCCTCCTTAAAGATAAACTAATTTTTTTAACGGGGTAGTTCCACAATGAATTAATTTCAAAATGTTCTTTACTTGGTACAAACTGCGCATGTCAGTTCCCGACCCACAACATACGGGCCACACGGTAACACATAGCAGTGTCCTTGGACCGGGGTTAATTTGACTCCGCCTTGAGCTCCATGAGTAAACGGCACATATTCTGCATCCTCATCAACACAAATAAAATCAGCGTTTCCTTTACTCGAGAAACTCTTCGTCATGAGGTAGCCCCAGTACTCTCGTGTCCACCCAGAGGGGCATGCATACCTAGCAGGGATCATCAACTGACAACCACGTGACTCAACGTAGCACACTGCACATGGGGCGTCATAATTGTCGAGAGGTTTCTTGAACGGATTAAAATCACTCACGGCGTACTCGGCGCCATATACAGCGGAAGAAGAACCTTGCCAACTGTCATCGTACTTTGCGTATAGTGGCTGATCAGGAAGGCAGATATGGTTCGAGCCACCCCCAGTGTGACTGTAATAATTTCCGCCTATGCGACCTGGAAATGCAAAGAGGGTCTCAATGGGATGGTGGCTTTTCTTACTGCTAACAGTTCATTACTTTTCCTTAAGGTTAACAGGAATCTTGTAAATCGAATTACCTTTGTTTTAAAATGCTAAAAATTAGTTTTCACTGTGCAAGTAAATATATGGAGGAGATACATTTTTCAATGTTTCAAAAAGTAAACATTTTATATTGATAACTGTAAAGCATATCATGTTTTATAGGACCATAATGGAAAAAAGGTAAACAAGAATTATAAACTAATACAGCTTACTACTAAGTCTCCCGCTTTTCTTGTACTATCAAGTCACAAGACAAGGCGCAAAAACGTCTTGACAAGAGATGTGGAGACTTTCACTTCTGTGGCTAAAATTATTTTCGTTTACTACATATGCATTTGAAGCCTTGTTGACCAACAAATCAGTACGAGTCTCAGAAAATGACCTGCATGTCTTGTCTCGAAGACACTGAAGGCACAATCAACGCGAGATTGTTGTGTAATCACAAGAAACTAATGGTCTCAATATTTGAAGGAAGATCTCTGCTATGTCTGCCGGTTAGAGTCGATGCTCCGTATTTGCCTGTTCAAGTGCGCTGTTCTTACATCCTAAATCTAAACCTGTCTTACCTTTATACAACAGCCGTGCGTCCCCCGGGCATGATGTCCGCCCCCAGCGAATGTACACCACCCCTGTAGTCACATTGGTGTGATGTTCATTATC